GAGGTCATGGGAACGGCGATGGTCCGAAGCCGACGAGAAGCGCAGGCCGGAGCCTCCACCCAGGAAAGAGGTGCGTGGATTGCTCCAGAGATCTCAGAAGAGAGTCAAACACCGAGATCACCAGATATCCCGAAGAGGAAGAGACAGTGAGGGGTGGTATTGGAGGGTAAAGTACTGCGTAAAGTATCCGTAGGTAGGTACTCGTTAGTGTACTGCACTAGACGGGCAAGGTTGAGGGAAGACTGTACTGTGGTGGTGGGTGATGCAGACGCAGGTCCAAGAGGAAGAGGATAAGCGCGATGGTGGACAAGGGTGGGTTACATTGAGGAAACCATGTCGCTTCCCTCTCGTTCGCTGGCTTAACGGAGTTCTGCACCAAGGAGAGACGTGCTGGTTTTATTCCTCAAAAGAGAAACGTGAGTGCAGCAGAGACGTGTAGGATGGAGAAAAAAAAGAGGGCGCAAAGATGACATGATGTGATGATGTTGATGGGTTGCTTTTGGAGCACAAAAGCTGAGATGTGACTGCCAGTGGAGAGTGATTGCGCGTTTCGGCATCGTATTCTTTCGCAGAGGTGTGCTGCGTCCAGGTCTGACGCGATGGAAACAATTGAAATATGTTCGTGTGTTGGGACGAAGGTCCGAGTTGGTGTTTGCCGTTGTCAGTTGAAGAATGAGATGTTGCGTACGGACAGGCGCGAGGTACTTGGAAATGTCGTGGAGATACAGCGGCCGCCTGTGCGTTGAAGGGACCGCAAGTACCTCGTCCGTCCCTGTCGTTTTTTTTTTCTTCCTTAAAAAAGGTCCAAAACCCCACTTCATGAAGATCCATCTCCGGGTGGAAAGTACGCAGTACTGGACCTTACCACTCTGAGCGCCTGCTCCTGCCATCTCTTCAGCCAGCATTTAAAACTGGAAATAATGAATTGAGGTTCAGACAAGAAAGGCAGGCACAGGAACACATCACCAATACCAATTCGAGGATGGATCATCTCTTCCTTCCTCTTACTGCCTTAGATACCTGTACCCACGTAAATCAATTGCACCTGCCTTTGCACCCTACGGATAAGGTAGGCAGGTGTGTTACCTAATACTCCGTAGCGGCTGCTATGACCACTTTGTAATCTGAGAGCTCCCGTCAGATCGACACGAGCTTCTTTCACATTATTCCGCACTCAAAATACTTGACACCATCATGTTCCTTGCAATTCTCCATCCACGAATACAGACCCCGAGTCTCCAAAAGACAACGAATTGTCAAGACATGGTATGACATGTCAACGGCCGTGCGCGCAGGCAGGGTGTGCCTTCATTGCGTTGGACGTGCCATCGGACGGCTTCCCCTACCTTACCCGTACCACACGGCACGGGCACGGCAGCTTATCTTTGCACGGCCTTTTCGCCATTCTCTGCCCAGACGCGGACGCAGATGCAGATGCAGATGCAGACGCGGACAAGAGGCTAATGAATCGTCTTATCATCAATCACCACCAACGCCAGTCATTATCGAAGCTAGAAATTCCATCGCGCTCTCGGCGCTTGTAGCTCCATGCCGCCCTCGCCTTCCATTTCCCTCCAAGGCCCGCTTGCCCAATACTGCCACTGCCGGTTGAGGTGGTAGTCTAGGTAGCTTCTGGCCTCCTAGACTACCTACGCTGTCTTTACTGACAGCCTTGACAGAATTGCATCTTCGTCGTCGTCGTCGTCTCCCAGTCTCTCCGCCGCATTCCCGTTTATTTCCTACGGACTCTTGGTCGCCGTCATTCCCCAATGCGGCTTGACTCGTGTCGTCGCATTGGTCAGTCTTCCGTCATCTCTGGCTGGACAGTGTGGCACCATCAAGTTGGAGAAGATCGACCAACAAGCCAACGGGAGAGCTCCTTCTCAAAATCTCTTTTTTCAGAAAGATTTTTTTGGTCTTCCTTCACCAGCACTGCCCTTACTCATTCGTCAGACCCGGTTGCGGTGTCATGCACAAGCCACCATTGGCCTGTTGTCACACAATTCTCTCACTTCTCATCATGAATGACGGATTGGCAGCAGGCAGCGGAACAATCCCACCCAACACCATGAATCAAGACGTTGCAAGCGTTACACAACCGCAACGCACTCAAGGCCTAGAATCTCTGCCATGGCCCAAAACCCATGTGCTGAACACGCCGTCTCTTTCATTAGTCTGACTGCGACTTCGATATCCACGACTCACCAAACCACTTCTACATCCACGGCTGTCCATCTCAGCCCACCAACTCTGCCCACACACAACACCTTGGTCCAATTTCTGTAACGACCGCTTGCGTCTCCAAAATGTCGGCCTCTCGGGGACCCGACCTTCGGACGCGGCCTGCCAGGAAAACATGACATCGCACAGTGAGTTGTTTTCTTCTCTCCCCCACACTGCCAGTTTCGATTCCTTGCAGCTTTGCAAAGATCAAGATACGCGCACTTTCAACTGTATCATGTCGTGCATCCCTCTATCCCCATTCCGACGTACGATGTCTAGCATATACAATCCTTGGCCCCATATTAGAGGAGCCAGGAAACACGATCCATATTATCGTATCCAGTGCGAAACAAGATGATATTGGAAGCTGGCTCACACTATGTCATCAACAGCGCTCTTTTCGTCCACCTGCAGCGACAGCAGGGTCCGGGGTTCGAGATTGAGGGAGGGGGAGGGGGAGGGGGAGGGGCAGGCCTGTTCGAGCATGGGAACACAAGGTGGGCTGCCCGATAACGTAAACAAGGCCACCGGACGACATCGAGAAGGCTGTCAAGCCCTCCTCTATTGAACTCGAAGAAAGTGAGGTGGTCTTCGGACCTCCTGATTGGACCCCTAGACCTGGACGGTTGATCTCACTCATCCACCCATCACGACTCGAACCAACATCCGGTACATCTTCGACATTCGGGCATATCTCATCCACTCTGCGAGTCCGACCACCATCCTCTCTCTGACAGCTTCAACGCAATCTTCGATCCGACGACAATCGGTCTGCGGGGTTTTATGCATCTTTGAACCGTCACCTGCCTCGTTCTACTGGACGAGAGTGGAGACATTCAGGTATCTGAGTCCGTTGTCTTAGCCCAGAAAGCTGTTGTCCTGATCGAGCCAAGTCTCGAACCGTTCGATGGACTAGTAGGGGTGGAGGGGGGTGTGAGATCTCTTCAACACCAGCCACGCACCCACGGCAATGAGAAAGTACGCGCACACGACATACCTTCCCAGATCCTGTTGACCAGAAACTTAGTCAACAACCAGCTCGGGAGTGAGACAGTGTGCCACAAGCCACGAAGAATAACCCCAAAAAGTCAGCGAGGCACATGGGCCACCAAGATTCGGGAGAAGAAAACACCTCCACAACACGCAGTTCGCAACGTCGCCCACAACGCAGCATGTGGATGAGCAACATCGGAATCCACGGCGGAGCCGCCGGGCAAAATCTCTCCTCTTTCTCTCTCTCCGAGCCTCGTGCCGTCGTCGGCTATCTGTCATCATCCACACACACAGGCTTGCCCCTCCTCTCCAATCTGAACCCCACCAGCGAGAGAAGGAGAGACGTCATGTAAGACAGGCTACTCGTCGCCCAGCCCCACGGACCACCACCACCACTCAGACGCAGCAGCCGTCGTGACTGCCCAGACGAGGCGCATGAACATGGCTCAGCCGTTCCCTTACGCCCAAAGGGTGTGATATCTCCTCGCCGTCCTTCCTCGCAGGAAGCAAGTCATCCAGGGCCCAGCCGGAGAATTACTTGAGCGCTTGGGCATGCTGTGTAACCCGGGCTTCTGACGTCCCATCGAGCCCCGCCATCGCATCACCTCACGCCTGGGGACCCAGCAGTCTGATAGATATCGCGGGTTCCCCGGAACCGTTATTTGGGGGCCGTAGGGAGGGGGGGCCGACGAGGAAAGTCGGGAAATGGGGAACCCCCCCCCCCCCTTTACTCCCCGGAAGGGGATACGAGATGCAGTCATCTGCTGTGTAACAGCCCACACGCGTGTGCGTGCGAGATGGCAGGCAGCCTTAGTCCGATCCGGTAGTGGTGGTGGTGGTTCATCACGGAGGAAGCAAGCAGTCGATCCCCCGGTTCCTCGACGACGCGGAGGAAGGTCGCAGTGCCTCCCCATTGGCCCGGCAGTTTTTGACAACTGCAGGCCGCCATCATACATGACGATACTCTAAATAGTTGATGCTCTCAAAACCGAGGTTGTGAAGGGGATTAGGCAGGCTATCATTCGATATCACGATACTCTTGAAAATGAAGTATTCATCCCACACTCACGATGACCTCAAATTTGGATTTCTCGTGGAGATGGCCTGTTCACAATCTACGAATAGGAAGAGATGGAAAGATGAAATAATTCGGGACCTATCGGGTCTAATGCTTCTTGCTGTCTGCGTCTGTCTGTCTGTCTCACGCCTTTTTTTTTTAGAGAGAAATGCCGCCGCCATTCTTTAGGGGGAAAAAGTCAAACTGCCTGCCCGCCGCGCGATGCCCTTCCCGACTATTCTTTTCGGGAACCATGAAAAACCCTGAAAGCGAACCAGAGAAAAAGAGAAATCACAAAGGCCAACGATCCGTCCGTTCCCCTTTTTAGTTTTTGGGCCAAAAGAGAAGAAAATTCCGTTCGTCTCTTGAACCAGATGACCAAATCCACCATTTCCTCCGATGCCAATGGATGTGATTAGAATCCGACACACATGTTGCTGTGCTGTGTTTCCGTTCCTGTATGGAGAAGGAGGAAAAAAAGACAACAAAAAACTTTTCCCCGCCTCAATATCCTTTTGGTGGGTGATTTTGTTTTCCGAGGAAAGAAATAAAAAGGTCGCAAGAAAAAGGCGATGATGTCGAAGTCCAAATGATGACGACAACCAAACAATCCCTCCCAAGTCCCCCTCTCCAGAAAATCAGAGAGCCACCCGGCCAGAGTCCCGTTTCACCTCTGGCAAACCCATTCGTCGCAAATTCGTAATTCGTAAGTAATGGTCGTAGCTCGTTAACCCGAAGGGTGCTCCAGGAGCGAGAAGGTGACGTGAGGCTTCGCGTCCTTGGCGGGATGGGTGTTCATCCTGACGGCCAGGGGACGGCGAGGCTCGTGCCAGTCGGACACCTTCTCGGTCATCTGGCGCTCGAAGCGGTAGCGGACGAGGTCCTGGCCGCCAGGAGGCGTGGTCAAGCTCATGGCGCGCTTGGGACGAGGAGTCAGACGGATGTCGTCGTTGGTGTCACCATCGGCTCTGCTGCCCCAGGAGGTCTGTTGACAAAAGTGTTAGCTTGAGTGGAGAAACAAGATGTGTGCTAACACCAGTCACTTACCATCTTGAGGGTTGATAAGGCGTAGAGCTTGATCAGTCCATGACCCCAGCCGAAGATGATGGAGACGGGAAGGAACATGATGTCGCTGGGGTTGCGGCGGAAGAGACCGATGAGCTTGACGACCTTGGTGAAGCCGAAGACGAAGATGATCTGGGCCCAGAGAGCCTGCTGGCGGCTCTCCATGTCCCAGTCGGCGGTGCCCTTCCACAGAGCGAAGATGATAAGAGGGTCAAAGACGAAGGCAAGAGAGGTGAAGGTCGCGATGTGGAGAGCGTAGGTGCACCAAGGCTGCTGACTGTGGTTGTGATTGGTTAGCCTTCTGTGTGAACGACCCAATCGCATGTAACAAAATGGCACAAGCTGGATGGGAGGCGGATCGAGATCCTCAAGCACCAGAGTAGATCGGAGGCAGGAAGGGAAAGAAAGAGCATAAACTTACGTGAGAACGTATCGCTCCTTGACAAGACTGGTCCAGTTGCTGCGCCAGTTGCTGCGAGCCCAGCGGGAGCACTGGTAGAGGAACTTGGAGCTGTTCTCCAGAGTGGTCTCAAGCTCGCACTCGCTCTCGTACTGGATCCAGGTCTTCCACTGGTGGCTGACGAGCCAGCGAGTGACGAAGTTGTCGTCGTCGGCATTGAGGATGTACTTGCCCCACTTCTCGGTCTTGAAACCCTCGAGGAAGTCGTGGCTGGAAAGAATCTCGGATCGGTAGGCGCCAGTGCGGCCAGACATGCAGGAAGTACCGCCGTCGAGGTTGTGGGTGGCCGAGATCTCGAAGTTGCGACGCTCGATGTAGGCAGCACCAAGCCAGTTGTAGATGCGAGTGGACCAGTCGCCCTCCCAAACGCGCTTAACTCTCTGGCAGGTACCGACGCCACCGATCTTGGGGTCTTCGAAGGGAGCAAGAATCCAGGGCATGAGGGTCGAGGGCCAGGTGACATCGTCGTCAGCCATGATGGTGATCTTGGTGGTGACCTTGGGAAGAGCCTCGCAGACCTGGAGGCGCTTGTTGGCGATCGGGGTGGAGTAGACCTGGACATTGGGGTGAGGGAGGCTGCGAGCGAGCTTCTCGAGAGCGGCGTGCTTCTCGACAGTGGTGACGAGCATCAGAACGCTCGGGTTGCAGGCCAGAATGCTGAGCAGAGAAGGGCGGAGCTCCTCGAAGACGTTGTGGATAGTGGGAATGATGACAGTGACATCCTCAGCGGTGAAGGTGGGCTTGCTGGGGATAGGCTTGGACTTGTAGACCCAGTGACTGACGCAGTTGACGAGGAGACGAGTGTAGCGATGAAGCCTGGAGGTTTTGTCAGAAAATGAGGTCCCCAAAAAATAAAATACCCACGATGATGGGCAGCAGGTGAAAACATCGTGGAGAGGCGCGCTTACCAAAGGGCGATGAAGAGGTACATCCACGCAGTGGTGGAAGACCAGCCAAAGCCGAGGTTCGGCAGGAAGAGGTCCATGACGGAGGCCATGGTTATTGTTCTTGATCGTGTTCACAAGAGGGAAGAGTCGAAAAGAGGTAGTGATGGGGATAGGAAGGTAGTCGTGATAACCAAGCAGCCGCAGGGAGAAGTTGCGGTTGTGGTGTTGGTTGTTGTGAAGAAGGGAAGAAGGCTTTTTTGTTTTTGTGCCCCTGCTGAAGCGAGAAGACCTTTTAAAGGGTGGTCAAGCGAGGTGGTTGATTCTTCACCTTAGTGTGCCTTCCTTTTGAAAAAAAGAAGATCTGGTGAATTTGAGATGGTCGTTCTTGCCTTTTGATGGCTTGAAAGTCTTCAAATGACCAGACCCACTTTTTACTGAGGTGAGGTCGGGTGAGGTGAGTTGAGGTGAGGTGAGGTGAGGTGCCTGGCAAAAGAGCAACCCAAACCTATGGCTTCCAGCTTTCTCAGGAAAGTGCCAAAGGTGCAAATGAAAAGAGATGAAATATGGATAGGTTTCCCTCCAAATTTCCCTGTTACCAGCAAGGTTTTACACTCGTAGGCAAACAGCAGTGGTGGTTGTGTGGTTTGGTCGAGATTCCCAATGAGGATCGTACTCGTCTCCAAGTCGTGCAGTTTCCAAAGCCTCTCTTGCTTTCTCTCTCTGTCTCTATCTCCAAGTCTCTTCTTCCTTTCTGTCTAGAAGGACCTAAGCGATCGAGGTAAGGTAGGTAAGACTGTCAGAGCGTATTGTCTGCGTCCGTTCAAGTGTGTATGTGTGGGTGGATGGATGGTATCAAAGAGTGACACGGGCGAGAAGACGGGAGGAGGAACCAACACCCAAGCCGCGTGTATGGGATGCTGGAGGAGGATGGTCGAGTCGTGGAGGAGGGGCCAAACAAAGGTATTATACAGAGATGAAAGATGACAATGGAAACTCAAACCATTGCGCGGACCAATTGGTCTTTTAAAAACAACAATGACCCAAGGGAAGAAGTGATGTCGAGGTCGTCCGAGGTGAAAGGGCCCGGGGACACCAGCAAGGATATATAGCCAGATGTGGTGGTGGGTTGCCAGGCATAGGCATGGCATGGGTTGATCAAGAGATGCGCCAATGCATCGAGACGGTAGTGTACTGAGTGGTTCTCCATCCAAACAAGGCCGTGACGGGAGGGAGTACTTGAAGGGTATGGGTCGAGGTATCTAATGCAATGCTATGGATGTATCGTCTGTCTTTTTTTGGTCTAAGATTCTGTGGTGCTTGAAAGTAGGAAGACGGGTCTGATGGAAGGCAAGGTACCTCGTAGACAGGCATTTCCTCAACCTTGGACTTTGTTAAAACTACCTACACAAAAGAGAGCAGTTGACGTCCGTCACGTTCGTCTGTGGTATTGTGGAGGGGGAGGGGAGGGGCGTGGTCGGCGGTTGTATCGGGGTGGGAGGGGGGCGTGTGGGCGTTGAAGAAAAAAAATAAAAGAGGCAAAAGAGGCGTTTAATCGACATGTCCTTTACGCAGACCCCGGCAAGGATTCCTGGGAGACCATGCTACAATGGAGGTACTTGCGCGTACTTGGAGGGGTCGAATCCACCAGCACGATGCAGGTATCTCTCTCGCTCTCTGTGCCGCCCTCCCACACCACACACAGCTCTGCCTGCCTGCTTCTCTAGCCTGCTCGTCTGCTGGTGGTGCTAGGTGCTGGTGCTGGTGCCGGCGCTGCTACCAGTACTGCGTCTGCCTCTGCCTCTGCGTCTACGCCTGCTGCCTTCTTGTCTCTAAGACGGGCTGGATTGACGACTAGCCTCAAGCTGGAGCTTCTGGGGTGTGGATGGTGGATGGGGCATGGGGGATGAGGGGACCAGAGGCTGGCTTTTTGTGGCTCCGTGTTGGGACGACGCTTCTCTAGCAGGTAGTCAGATAGACTGGGTATTGGCAGCTCTTGTTTCTCATCCAAGCATCGTATCGGCCTGGCATCAGCACTTGCGACCAGTAGCGCGCCGATATGTTCTCGCACCGCATGCCATCGTCTTGAACCGCTTCGACCTCACCACCGAGTGAGTAATCGTCGTCCTCGTCCTCGTCGTCGTTCCCATGGCGCAACGTTGGCCGGCACGAATTGCCAACGAAATCAGGTTTGGGGGCCATCGCTGCCGTGCCATTCTCATGCCTTTCTCCTCTTCCCTGGCCGTTCGTTTCCTACCTAGCTTCGACGATGGAGTCAAGCGGAACACGGGCCATGGGCGTCCTGAACCCTCGATCCTCGACCCTAGGTTGGAACGAAACGATACGACAGGTAAGCAGTCAGAGGCGGCTGGAGCTGCTGGTTCCTGCCCTCTCGTCATTTGCTGCTCTCTTGTTGGCCCCGAGGCACTATGGACGGCGACTGGGGAAGCGCGAATCACAGGGCGGAGTCGATCTGGTGGGGAGGGGAGCGAAACGACCGCGGCCTGTGGAGGCCACGGATATAGAGGCGATGACCTTGAAGAGTCGAGAGGGGGAGCGAGCATGAGGAGGCGACGACAGGCGACGACAAACGACGAGAAGAGCTTAGCACTTTTTTTGTTGGATGGATAATACTTGACACTGCTTAGTGTAGCGCGCGAATAACGCCATACCCTGCGCACCAGGGAGGGTCCTTTCGCTCTTGGTTGGTGTCTGTTCTCCAGTCTCCGTGGTTGAGCGGCTAGTTTGTTGTGGAAAATGGCAGCACGGCGAGATTTGGAGATCCACTGCTCGGGTGGGCAGATTCCATCATTCGTTTGAGTACGACTGGCCCATCTGCACATCCAGAGACAAAAGGTGGAGAGGAGACGCCTGGAGGAGCTGCTGGCTACTGCTGCTGGCGACAAGGACCAGGACCAGAGCCTTCCCGTCGACATTCTGGCGCTGGCGTTGGCGCAGGACGGATACCAGGACCTGAACTGACGGAGTTGCAGCGACGGGAAAGAGTGAGAGACAAGGACATGGCCGAGATAGGCTAGACGAAGTCGAATCAACGGCCCGGTAACTCGCAACAAGACGAGACGAGCGGGCGTGCATGAGAGACGAAACGAGATGAGAGACAAGATGGGATTTTCGGCAGCGCTGTGAACCGACCTGGCAATCATCAGCAGCAACATTGACAACGGCAGTGACAGCGACACCTATCCAGCAGCAGAGACGAGAGACGGCCTGGCAGCGCAGCGCAGCGCAGCGCAGCGTGAGTGGCACCTTAGCCGCAAGCTCGCAAGACCAGGAGGGGTAAAATCCTGAAAAATTGGAGAAACAGGAACCTTCACGCAGTAGCGCAGACTGGCGCGCACTGACGAGACCCTGGCTAGGAAATGGCCTGGGCCGTTGTCGAGGTCCCCAGTTTTTGCATCTGACAAACGAACGGACGGCGTGGAGTTGAATCGAGCGGATGAACAAGCATTTGCGCTGCTTATTATGGATACTCGTCTCTTGTCTGGCCCATTATCAAGCAGAGACCAGACCGGACTGGGACAGGCATGCTGCCGCAGGCAACGGAGTAGAGGCCTGCTACGGCTTGTGTTTCTCTGCTCCTGCCTCAGCCTCTGCTGCTTGCTGGGGCTGATCTGTATCTGTATCTGTATTCGTAAGATGGCATCCGTACCCGTACCGCGCAACCTATCTCTCGGACCTGCAGGTGCCTCGACTGATCGATTCCGAGGACACCGGGTCTTTTTGGGCGTCTCTCTTGTCTCGCTCTCGAGTCCGTATGTCATGGGCCTGTCTCTCACTCTCCACCCCGGAAACCGTCGAGCAATCAAGATGGACAAACGTATTCGCAGAGAGGGTGTGAATGTTGCCGCTGACATTGGTGACGCGAGGTGCTTGACTGGCGCTGTTGAGAGAGAGCAAAACAGAAGAATGCAAGCCGTGGTGGGATGGGCGTTGTTGCTCTGACGATTCTGATATCTGATGAATGGTGCAGACAGAGCAGTGACAGACGCAGTGCTGTTGCTTTTGCATTCGCATTCTTCAGTCTGACCTGCCATATTGCGACGGCCGGACCGACAGGGTTGACGTTCCATGATGCTTCAGATCCTTGCCAACCTTGGCCGGGGCGCATGCTGTTTTCGTGATGATAACGGGCCCCGGGTTTAGCACTTGCAAAAAGGCGCGAATATTTCCCGTAGCCTGTAGATCGCCATCCCCAAGGTTGATTGACTTTGACCAGACGTTGGGCCGAGCAAGCGAAGGGCCACCAAAACCCCATGCTGCGTTGTCCTGCGGAGCGAGGTGCTGCGGCGCGGTGGTGGAGATTGGACAGACGAGTCTCCATCAATCAAGAGATCCGTTGTCTCCCGTCTCATTTCTCTGCTGGTCTTCGGACGACATGGAAGTTGTTCTCGACTCCAACAAGTCCGGACCGGATGCACAGGCACAGATAGACGGCTGGCTGGTGGCGCACACCAACTACATGCTCTTCGACTTTTGCCCGTGCCGGCCGAATGTGAGTACGACAGGAATTGCACGGCAGCGAGAATTGCATGTCAAGCATGTGCTCAACGCTTCGTATGAGGGCCGCAATGTATAACATGCCAGAAGGTAGCATATGCCGCTGGATTTGGCTTGTGCTGGCCGCTATTATCTCGGGGTCGCTCACCCAACCGACCACCACATCGAGCTGGTGTGTCATGCAAGCTGCAAGCCATGAAGCCGTCAACCTGATAGAAAGCGAAAAGACGAATTGCGTGCATTTGCGTGAGACAGTGATCAGTCCATCCCACCCACGTTTAGACCTGACATCAGAAAACACTTGCATAGCGTATGTGCAAGGCGGCGCGGCATGGACCAGGTGTGATGAATAAATTGGATGTGGTGTGCGGCCACAACGTCGGGGCATCTTGTTTGGTAATGATCTCGATTAAACACGAGAAGGGGACTGCGGAACGAAGCCTTGCCGCATGAGGGCATGGAGACGTGGTGCATCTACCCAAACGAAATAGGGTGCCGTGGTCGAATGGTGAAGAAGATCGGAGGCAGTAAGAAATCTCGAAGGATCTGAATGGGCGGGATGGAACGAGACGACAAGCAGGTCGGATTCGGAGAG